GCAACGCACTTAACAGCAATTAATCAAGCCGGATCACACCCTGCAGACTCACACACACGCACGCACGCACGCACACAAACATACACACGCACATGCACACACACCAGCTTTTTGTGATACACAGGGCAAACCGTTGAGGTGCTTCACCAAAAAACGCTTTTGTTTCCTAAATTACTGATGTAAGATAATGACTGCAGCAGAATCTAGCTTTTGGCAACTTTTGTCTGGTCTTCAAATTGGCTTCGAATGGGCTGAATAGACATTTAGCAACAGCAACTGTCCTGGGTAATTACAAGAGGAACAAATAGTCATGTGTAAACTAATGCAGTTTTTCAAAAGGAGGGGCAAGTACTACAACTATTGGGCTATAAAGTTACTGAAGCTTTATTTAGTCCTGATTTCACTTACATTTGTTTGTGTCCTGCTTAGATGAGGTGAAAAATAGATAAGTGAATACAGCTAATCCCCCGAATTAACTATTAATTCAAATGTAATTGCAGAAGACGATTTTGGATATGTCACCCAAACTATGTATTTAAATGTAAAGGAAATACACAAGTCTTTAAGGAGATGGATAATTTATAATATGCTTTAAGTGTATTTAAAATAAACGAGAGTTAGAATCCAACCCCTCCACAGAGTCTGCAGTCACAGGATGCAGCCGGCTGATAGCACTGCCTCTTTCAGCCCTCACCACTGTGCTACACCGCGTCCTGCTTCTTTTGTTTTATTCTCTGTGTAAACAATTTGAATGAAAAGACGCCCATTTGGAGGATTAAATACGCTTGTCTTGCTCTTAACCACTTTCTTTTTCACAGTGCTTTTTCTCTGCTCTTTGTGAGTGGGTTAGATGTACAGAAAGAGGAGGGAGGGTGACGCAGAGACAGTCCCATGGTGATCCAGCAGACGGTCTCCAAGGGAAGTCCTTAAGAACAAAAGCATGTGGAAGAGGCCTCCTTTGCCTTTGCTGTTACTGTGGATACAGCCGCACAGCTTGGCTTTGGAAAGAACATGCACATTTGGGACAATTATGGAGATCGTATCCACAAAACACCTGCAATAGGCAGCGGCTATGGCAATGATGAGGGATGGGTATTTACAGCTTTAGGCTGCAATAAATGTGGAAATATAGCCTTGTTTTATTAAAAGATAAGAAAGACGACACCTCCCAAAGAGCAGGGATTGGGTTTACAAACCACAATACTCTAAACATGTTTAAAAAAGCTGTTGTTGTTGTTGTTGTTGTTGTTTTCTTTTCTGAGTTTAGTGTAGGAAATCTTCAAATCCTCATACTGATTTAGCTTAATTGTCAACTGTTCTCGACCAAACACTATAACCTTTTTACCTGGCTTTTTGCATTGGACTGAGTAATTAGAGCCACGTTAACATATTTACTCTTAATAATAATAATAATAATACACTATTATTTTTTCATTATTGTCATTATCTTTCAGTTGTTAACAAAACCCCATACCAGCAACTATTAGCTCACCTTGAACAGAGGCCTGTAAGTCAGGGAGTTTCTCTTTTAGTACTCACTAAATAATGTGATTTAGGACTTTGAACATTTGACATTCAGATAAAATATTGCTGTCATAAAGGTAAATTATGGTTATAGATACTATGTGCTCCACATTATTTTCCATACTAGACCACTACAAGCACCACTCCATCTAATAGGACACTTTTCAAAGTTGACCCACTGGAGCGTGTTGGATTTGCATGTATACAGTGAGCACAGACTGACTGAGGAACAGTGCAACTGTCGCCACATGACGACAGGCAGCCATGCTTCACTCCTGGCCTTCACTCCAAGCTCTCCAATTACACAAGCCACTGCTGCCAAGAGGGCCCCTTTTTCTCCCTAAAATTCAATAGACCACGGGCTGCCTCCTTCTCCCTCCCTCTCACACACACATACAGTATACATACACACACTTACACACATGGCACTCCCAGTCTGGTCTCGTGGTGCACCTGCCTCCCCTCGCTCTCCAGGCCAGCTCAACTCCTATCAAAGGAGATGAGCTCTTTTCTTCCAGAAAGCTAATCCAACACCTGTCTCCGGGCTTTAGGACGGGGAATAGAGGGCTGCGTGTTGAGTACAGTGTATAAGAAGCATAGAGAGAGACTGTTTTTTGTCAGATCAAGAGCAATAGTGTGCGGATTTGAAAATGGACATATGGAGACTACATGGCAGACAGGATTCTTTTTGTCCGTAATGGAGTATCAAAGGGACATTTGGGAAGAATAGATGTGGCTTTATTTTGTGGGCAGCACAAAAGGGCCAGAGGATATTCCATTCTCAGTGTAACTGCTGAAAGCGACAGGCAGGGGATCCAGTGTGAAGAAGATATATGTCACAAGGCCAGGCAACACATTATGCAATCATATTTGTCATAATAGGCCCAGAGAAAGTGTGAGTTACATAGAAAGAGTGTAATCTTGGAGTGTATTTTGTTATTTCTATTTTATGAGATCCATGAGACCATTTGGCAAACTGTGGGATTTTTTCTGGTATTGGTGGTTTTCAGAATCTAGATTGTGATGATGTCATACTGCCAGATGGGAGGCAAGAGCTATAATTTCCTAATGATTACATGGTATTTTTCCAAGAAATATCCAAAAGGTAAATCATCAGTCATTTCTATTGGTGACATGATCCCAAAACCTGCTATATAACATGTAAAACCAAAATTTTAATAATATGAATTTTAGCTGTCTTCCATTGCAAAAATATTATTGGCTACAGAAAAGTTGTGACTTGAATTAGACTGAGTTGTATTTCATTTATGTAGGTTTGGAACTGGCACAATAAGTACACTGAAGTATAAATGTGGCTGGACTATTAAATGCTGCCACTAGGCTGTGGACATTGTGCACACAATTGAGTTACTTATACTATATGCACATTTAAAGTGGCTCTTCTTATTAAATCATGCATAGAAAATAGATAAACAAAAGCTCTGTGCTATAATCTCAGAGTCTATATCTTGTGATTCCTATTTAAGGGGATTCTAGTCACATAGAGGCCATTTGCTTTATACTGTGGCACACAAGTGGATGGTTTTCATGACTTTGTAGCTCTGGGCCTACTTCTGTATTAGCCTGAGTTTGAGTCTTTTTCAATCATGTTAGCCCTGGTGTCATAAGGGAGCGGCGCTCTAATGGACCATGAATCGTAGCCCATAAAGTCGTGATGGTTAGTGATGCATGCCGCCCCATGCTCCAGCCAGGATTGTGTTCTGGTCGCTATTTAGATACACACAGAGCCATTGAAATATTTGCTTTTTTTCTTAGCGGCTTTAATTTAACAAGATGACTCACATCAGGCGCACTGAAGATTCGCCTCCAGCAGCAGGGGTCTCTCAAATTGGAAATTGGAGGTAAAATAAATCTAAGATTGCTTCCCTTCATGTAGTCCCCCTGAAAATGGCTGCAGGGGAGATATTAGAGACAGGACTGAGAAGGAGAGTTGGATAGATAGAAAAGCACAAGGAATGAGGAAAACAAGAGGAGAGGAGACAGGGAGGAAAGTGGAGAGAGATTTAGATGGATATGGAGGAAAAGAAATGGACTTAGCAGAGTCCCATTCAATTATTTGCCCATAGGAGTGAAGCCCCGGCATTATAGGACTATAGCTTTTGTTTTAGGTCTTTATAGTTTCTAAGATCAGCAAGGAGAATGCGCATGTTTCAAAATAATTATGTTCACCAGATGCACTGTGTACACATACATACTTACAAAGTTGTGGCTGCATGTAGTACGGTACCTATAATGTTAGTAGGTCAAAACACACCAAGAAGTCCACCTAATAGGTTGGCCACAGGAAGGAAGATTGGCTTCTGTTTGCTATCAGCAGGCCAATACGCACTGAGAAATACAATAAGAGTCCATATGCCATGAGGAAAACTATGTGTGATTTTAATGTCTTTATGGAGTCTTATAGTCATAGTAAAAGTTTATTGAGCCAAAGAATTTTTAAACTCCACCTATATTAAACTTGTTTTTATAGTGACAAGTGATGGTTTATTAAGCAATCCCTGTCAGATTGGGTTCTTTATGCACATATACACACCAATCCTTAGTTGTATTTTTTGGCACCCACTAAATTTCCATCCCAGTTCCATTCATTTTCCATTATGGCATTTTAACTGTGCTATTTGGTCATGAGTTAATGGTAATGAAGCTTAATGCGCAGTTAAAATGAGGCACCTTTTTTTTTTCTTTTCACTATTCACAAACACAGACAGAGCAGCCAGGCGGTATCAGTCGTATCAGCAGCCTCTCCCTGGATTAGCATATTTGGGTGAGATAAAGAACAGAGTAGCGTTACTTAACTTTGATTTAATATTGCCCATCTGCCACTCTCTATCTCCATCTCCTGCTGTCAGACTGCTTTTGTCACCGCTCCTGTCTGCTTTCCCCAATGAGGTTTTATACTTGCCTATTCTATCTCACATTAGCACTAATTCTTTTACAGACCGTATTTCGATCTTTTTCACTCTCCTCTTCAATTTCCCCCTTTTTTAACATTTAACTCAGCCTTCCAGCTTTTGGCAGATGATTATATCAATGGAACACATTCACACAGCAATAAATTCCTTATCATACCAGAGCCACCACATGGTCGGGGATTATCTACTTGTGCATTAAACTACTCTGTCGCTCAATGCACAACAAACTGGTAAAACAACATCTAGAACAGTTTTTTTTTTTTATTTTACAACAAAATACCATTAAAGTACCAGTAAACTGTGAAACTGAAGGTTAGTGCTGAAGTGTTGAAATTGTATTTGTTATATGCCAAATGTGGTAGAAATGTCACACATGCGATAGAGGACTGTGACATTTTAGTCCAGTATTTTAGGAATTTAGGACAAACCAGGTAAAGATGAGATTGAGTGCAATGCATGGTATTAAAATAGCATATCAGCATGTTTTTCCCCATGAACTACTTAAAAAGATAAAGGATCTGTGAAAGGTTATGCAGTACTTACCTACAACTTATGAGACATGGGGTGGAATATTGGTCCATTCTCCCACTTGCACTGAAACAAAGAAATAAAAGTGGTGAAAAACAATAATAAAAGCACATTAAATCTCACTATTGTGGTCTATAGTAAATGTTTTTTTGTCGAACATTATGTTAAGTGTAAGCATATGTAGGCTGTACTGACTGATCTAATAGTGATTGTGAAATATCTCTGATTTGTGGCTTGAATTTGAACTAAAAAGTCAATAACTGTTACACTTACATATATTTAAAGTAAATCTAGATACTCCTTAAGAAAGATGATTATTAAAGGGCGCTATATTGCTGTGCTGAAAATAACACTCTAGTGTGCAGTTATTTCAGAATAGAGTAGATTATGAAGTTGCCTTGACTTTCACCCACATAAATGCAAATGCATGTAAATACAACGTGATTTGCAATAAAGCCCTTTTTTGTCCTTGCCCATTTGACATTTAAAGTAGCCTAGTTCAATTTAATTTTCTCATTATGTCTTGGCAAAATATTGGTATTTAAAAGTCCAAGCCAGTGCAGAGTTAACCTCGTCTGATTGCTTCGTGTGAGCAGCCAGTGTCCCGTATTAGAGCTGGACTTTACCAATCACCAGTAGTAATGAAATCAGTCCTTAATACATTTCACAATTTCAGCTCATGTACAGTCTAAATAACAGAGATCCATGAGCACAGACATCCCATTTGAATCAATTTCAGTTCAAAATGTCACAGCCATACATAATCATAAGAGTGACCTCAGAGTGAAGGCGGGGAAAAAAACGTTATGAATCTCCATTTTGGACGAAGTTAGTATTTTCATTTTTCCGACTCTAATGGCAGTGTAAGACGGCTCATTGGCATTTGCTGTCCGAGAGAATGAATGCAGATTTTGTTATAGGACAGAAACACACACGCGCTTTTGATCATTCTGTGAAAAAAGATAATTTATTCAGTTAACTGTCACCTGTCAGTGTAATGGAGATTTGCCTGCGACTGACCACCCAGATGGTGCGTCTGCCTGGGGTCCCGGGGGTATACTGCTCACCGCTGCTGCTGCCAGAAAGACCAAATTTAAATAGATGCTGTTTTAAAATACTATATGCACATGTCTTATTACTGGAAAATATGTCTGCAGCACAGTAGCGGTGGTGGCTCCTGGGTACAGATGATTTCTGCATACATACAAACTAGTTTATTAAATCTTTATATTCAAATTCTCAAAACTCTGTAATAAAAACATCCATATACAGTGTAAAACATATTTATCATTATAATAAGTCCTTATAGCTCATACATTAAAGTCGCAAGAGAAAAGTTGCAAATGAACTGTTGTTGAAGTTCTCAGTCTTGAATTCACAAATGCAAATAATAATGAAAAACGCTAATAAAGACAGAAAATGGCAAAAAAAAAAAAAAACATTAGGTAACATTAGCTGTGCTTTTATGTAAATCCAAGTTTGATGGTGGCAAAATCTAAAAAGGTTTGTAGATTATGAAAAGTGATAATCTCAAAAAACAAAGGACTTAAAATAAATAATAAATGGGGTAAGATGATTTAGGTTGAATGCACCATATTTTTGCATAAGAAGAAATGCCACAATATCAACTTTTAAAACAATTTACCAGTTATTTGCAATCACTGACGCAATAACCAAACAACAAAGAAATCCTTAAAATATAAGGATTATATCTGTCTAATACACTCCCATGTTGTAACTAACCAGTTCTGCAAAATCCAGCTTTATGAATCGAAAAGTAAAGTTAAAAAAAAAAAAAAAACACTTCATGATAAGCTTTTTTGGCCTGTATACTTCTTGTATACTAAATTGTCATTTTAATTTATTACAATGGATAACCACATGATTCTGGATTAACATTAACTTACATCCTTACTCATAAATTCCAGTTACGATCTAATAATAGACATTCTTGCATTTTTTAAAGAACACGTCCCAAAATCGTTGTTATCATGCCATGTTTTAGCCATTTATCCAGATATCAGACCACTTGAAACTAACCAGGACCCAGTGAAGGCAGCAGTGGTGTTTACGTTAATTTGAACACTTTACACAAACCATACTTTGGAGTTCGTCGACATTTGCATGAGTTGTATACATTACACACAACTTGGATATTAACACACAATCAAGGTTTATCTAAACATGTCACCGAGCCAACTCCTGGGCTGCCTGATTTGCACTTTCTTCCATCTTCCCTTGACTTTCTGTCTTCATTTTTCCCCACTTCCTTTCCTCCCTTTCCTCCCTCTCTAATTTACCTCAGTGACAGATCTGCGCGCCGCCTCTGATAATAAGATATTCCCACCAGCCTGCGAGTGCCGCTCCCTCCGCATCCATCACCTCTCCCAACTCACATTACTGCCCTTTACAAGCACCGGGATGTTTTTCTCCTTAATTGTAGCCGTACACATACCTCACCCCCCAGTCATAATAAATGGTCTTGTCCTCCATTACGGCCATTAGGGAAGTCACACAGAGAGTAGCATGCCGCCCACTGTGAGGCTGGTTTGTTTGGCACGCTGTTGTAGAAGTGCAACTGTATGTCCCTGCTATCAGAAAACATGTGTTAAGGGAGTGACAGTATCTTAACTACCGTAGGGACACCACTAGACAATGTCCACTAGTACTACTCTCACATACAGTATCTGGCTACTTCTTCAAAACAAAGTAGTAAATAAAAATACTACTATCCAGACTGTTGAAGGCAAAGGGAACGGCCAAATCTCCAGGGGTTGAGCAACATTATTTGTAATGTCTGCTACCAGATGTCTCAGATTGAAAGCCCCTATTCAACAGTGAAGTACCAGGTGCGGTCAGAAGATGGCAGTGTGCTCCTGTTACATTGTACGCAGGCTCTACTACAAGAAAACTGGAGTATTTTTTGTGGAGAAAAGGGTTTTTGAATAAGGTGAATGAAAAGGTAGAATGAGTGAATGACTGACCACCTGGAATGTGTAGCCCATTATTAAAAGATGCTCTGGATGAATCATGTATTAAAAACACTGAATTGATAGTGGCGTTACAAAAAAACTACATAATACTATAAATATTTTTGTTGTTCAGTAAAATACAATTGATTGATAAAATTTTATGAATGAAAGTTAGTAGGAATCATTGTACATAGTAGTGGCTGTAGTACGATGAGTTCATTCCCTTGTATTGCGGCAGATATCCAGACCGAGCTGTTGTCGTTGGCGATGTGATAAGCGGATGATGTCATCGTTTCTGGTCAAGAGCAAACAGGTGCAAGCTGAGGAGGAGCGCTCTCTCACTATCATGGTGCACTTACTGTTCATTGCTCTTACTTCAGTCAAACAGCCTTTCAGCCTCGTGTTGGTGCTAATCAACTGTCATTTTCTGCTTAGCTACATGGTTGGCTTTGATGATGCAGGCCCTGGTGCTGTGTAGTTGATTTGCTGTTTATAATGACCTGAGGATGAAAAGAAAGAACTGTGAGTCACTTTTATGGTGCATACATACAAGACCTATATTTGCAAAGTGAAGAAACTGCATCTATATGTCATCGTTTTCAGTGAGGAAAAACATGTTTACAATAAAACAAAACAAAAAACAAAAAAATAAATCAATGAGTTTCATCTGCAAAAGGTCTCCAAATATTATTTTTCTGCAGAAGTACACAACTAGAGCATGTCAAAAGCACCCATATAAAAAACAAAACTCACTGCTGTCACTGCACACCACAAAAACTTAAAGGATCTAAAATTATTTGAATTCAGTTCTTATAGTTCAATAAAGTTCTAACTTATTTAGATGTAATCACATCTGTATAGGGCACAATCATCTACCTTTTTCAAAGCCACTAATAATTTATTCAGAAAGTGCAGTTTCTTAGAACTGCTCTCTCAAAACTGAATTCAATTCCAGGACCACCCTGTGCTCTGGTTCCCCTTACTACCCCAAACATGTTCCATGGGTCTCCATTGGGAGAGAATTCTTCTAGAAATTATTTGATAAATCTCAGCGGCACGCTCCCGGTTAAACAAGGGTTAAATAGTTCACTAAAGGACATATGTTTCTAGTTACTGTAACAGCTGTAGCTACTACCAACACTTTGTGACACACCTGTACAGTTGAACCTCATCACCATAAGATGTGTTCATATTTTGTGATGTTACTTTGTCCTTAAAGATGCAAAGGATCAAAACAAGGAAAGTTTACAAACAACCGTAGAATAAATCAAGATTGTTGTTTTTAATTGATCACATAAGAGAAAAACATCAAACATCCAAAGACATCAACTCAAGTACTTATTTATCAACATGATCATCACAACAATCCATTTGTGGTGGCTGAGACTGCCTGCATAATGAACAAATCTGAAGAGAAGAAACTTGAACACATGTAATACATTTTCGATATAAAGGGCTGTCTGGAAGTTCTGTTAAACTTCAACTTGAAATGAGAGCACAATGTTTTAAGCCCTTTCCCAAGTTTGCCTGTCTGTCTCTAAAGTCTGAGTCCTGTTTTGTCCTTGTCCCCATTTCCTCAGCACCACACGCCCATTTCTCCACAGATTGATTTCACGTGGAACATGGAGACATTTCATCTCCTTTTTCTGCACTGCGCTGTCATGTCTGTCACTATATGCGCCTGATACCAACAGCCCAATTTACAGATGGCGACACGAGAAACGGACAAGGAAATCATTACAGACACATTCATAAATATCGGCTGCTCTGTTTCTTTTAATGGTCAGGAGTCAGAAGTTTAAGGTATGGGAGTCCTGGAGCTAAAAGACTCAAGGATAGATCAATGTCAGTCGTCAGGGGGAATGAAAGCCACTCTGCTGGAAAAAGGGGCGAACCAGGAAGGAGCTTGAGGCGCTGAAAAGTCATATCATAGAGTCGTCAGGGTGGGCTGTGGTGGTTTCAAATCATGAATTCTTTAATGTACTAAGTCCAAATGGTCCCTTGTGCCCCACAGTGCCTTGCCTGGCAGTCTGAAAATAATTGAGGACTTGAGCGTTGAAAAGGGGGGAGAGGGGGGTGAGGATACGGGACGGGACAGGTTGAGCTATGAAAGAATGAATAAATGACAGAATGAGTGAGATGGAGATGCTTGGTCTTTACAAAAATTACCTTACCTTTACACAGTGACTCTCAGGGGGGGGAAGGGGCTGGGGTCCTGGTGTGCCCCCCTGTACCTGTCTCACTCACTTTTGATAAAGCTGTGGCAAAAAGGCAGAAGGTGGAGGGTATAATCTAGTGGTGTTTCAGGGAATGGATCTCCAAGGAATACTTCTTTCATCTGAGGTCATTAATCGCAACGTCCAATCACCTCGCTCATAGATCAATAGAGCGGCACCGTGCTAAAAATGAAAGAGATGCTGAAGTATAAAACATGTGGTATATGTTCCCCCTCAGCAAGTTTACAGCCGGCTGGGTCAGTGAGCGGTGCCGTGTGGCCGTTTCAGATCATTATGAATGAGCTGATCCAGGAGTTTGCCTTCTATGGGCTATGATTAAGGTCTCAAAAGTGCTTGCATGTTATTTTAGGCCCAAATTGTTTAAGTTTTTGTATGCTATGTCTTTACATTTGTTTCAGAGGTGTGGATGAGAAGCTTTGGTGCCTTTTAATTTAATAATGCGTTCTGTAAAAGTTGGGTTCTAAACCAAGGTTGAAAACATTGCTATGGGAAGCGAATTCAGTAACGGTGGTATGTTTGGGAACCTTGATAATTGCCTTCCCTGGTTTCTCAGTCCAGTGAGTAGCAGCCACTAACACTCTAAGCTGGTTGGGTGTTCATTAGAAGTCCTTATTCAGTAGTTAGAAGGGATATGAGTTTTCAGCCAGCCCATTAAAGGCCAAATGTCACCAATTTAACTGTGTGCGAGGCTCATAAAAGAAGTCATGCATGGTACTGATGTTCAGTACCTTTCCATTCTTTCTAACGAGCTGCACACACACAACTGCAGCAGCGGACGGGATACCTCGCCCCACAATGGATGGATAATGAGCACGCCCATTTCCTTATACTCGTGCTGTGTATCTGTAGGTTTAAGATTAGGACTGCTCCAGTTTGGGAGACTCCTCCATAGGATCGTTATTGTTACTACTTTTAGTGTCCAACGGTAAAAGAGGGACTTTAACCTGGGTAAGTGGGGCAATAGTCTAACAAGCTCTAGTTAAAGTAATGGGCCAGGGGCAAGTATTTGTGTAATATAATCTAATATATACTTGATGCTAAAAATACTGTAATACTGCAAATAGATTCATGAGTTCATGAACAAATTATTGCAACTGTACTGACTGTTTCTACAGAGGGCCTAAGGTTACTCAGCATACATACATACCCAGAGTGAAGAGGGCATGATCTGCAAATACATTTATGACCAACTTCTGTAGAGAACTTTTTATGCCTGTTTGGACAATTATTATGTAACTCAGAGTCAACATATTATAAGAAGATATTTGCATGGTAAATGTGCACTATGTGATTTGTAGGATCAAGCAATTGTTTTTTTCATTGTATGTTTGTTATATATATTGTTTCACAACATTTTACACTTTTTGTGATCAATAAATATATATATATTTTTTTTCCATGAAAATATTAAACATTTCTGCCTGCACTCAACCAGAGCCATGGGACTCCTTATATTGTACTTTGACAAAATATCACAATTTTGTATGTCAACATATATATTATTAGTCTTATATCAGCAATTTTACCTGGAGTCTGTTTTACATTGTGCTTGCTTTTCATAAAAACAATGTAAATGCTATTTCTTCAATTGTCCCACCCACGGTTGATGTCCCGAGTCTCATTGTGGATCTTGTCCATATAGATCCCCATGTGGTTTATGTCCCAAGTAGCAGCTGGAAGCTCTCTTCATATCCTGGATTATCCTCTTCCATTTTCTCTTTAAGAGAGGTTTCCAGAGTGTCATATATTTCACAGATTGTAAAAACTCCCTGAGGCAAATGGGTGGTTTGTAATTTCAGTCTATATAAATAAAACTGACTTGACTTGATACCCAATTGACATCTTCCTCAGCACCTTTAAAGCAGAACATACAGTGCTCAGAATTGTTGCAGGCTTAAATTGCGAAATACCAGTTTGAAATTGTTTTGAGAATGCGACAACAACATCAAGCTAAAAGACTTCATGTGTTCAGCATGAAGGAACAAATAACCCACATCAGCAGGCCTCTCGACAGACCCACAAGGGGCCGCGGGAGTGAGCGCGATTGGGTTATTCCAAAGATGAATGTGCCTCGCAGCTTTTGGGCACACAACACAAAACCAGTGAAAGGGAACATCGGCATCATTTGATGAGGCATTCCAAATGTCCCTGGGGAACTGGATGGCTGAGGGCTAAATGACAAATATATGTTGTTGGTAGTGGGGAGAGTTTCTGCTGGCTGCCCTAAGGTGCTCTGTGGCTGGCAGCGCTTTTCCATTTGTCCTTGAAGATGTTGGCTGGGAATGTTGTCATCTGCTTGGGTTAGTTTGAGAACAGTACCTACGCTGGATTGGGCTCAGTTCTGGACAAGGGACTCACATTCACACCATCTTTATTTATTGCTATCCCTTCTTGGCTTATTAGTTTTTATCTGTCTCTTTGGGGTTACATCAAGTCTTCAGTCATATACCATTGTGGAGTAATTACACGTGGCCCTCACAGACAAATGCAACAAATCCCACCTATTCCAGGATACTGTAGAAACAAAACATTGTATAACACTGCAATGCTACAGAACAAAGGAGTTTTATGTTAAAACTTAATTACTAAAGACACATAACAAACTAAATATTAAACTGACCCTGACAGATATTAATCATTAAGTAAGCCAAAACCCTTATCTATCTTGACAGTAAATGTAATTTTTATGAAACGCTTTCAGCATAATGCATCCTATACCGTTCCATACAGCGTAAATGGAGATGAATTATTCCTCAAACTTCTTAGCATACTTTCTTTGTCTAAGTATCATCCTAAATTATTGAATTAAATCAAAAAGAATTAACTTTTTCTCCACCATGGATTATCTATGTATACGCCTAAAGACAAAACAACAGCACAATAAGTATGAGACAGTGAAGAGATTGAGTTTTGAATATTTACAGTGAGTTAATGACATTTCCATTCTGTGAGCTTGTCAGAAATAACAAAGGGCCTGCGTTTACCCTCCGCATCTGCTTAAGTCTCTTTTGCTCCCTCCTCGTGCCCCAAGTGGCTCAGAAATCCTACTTTATAGTGGAGAGGTGTCAGAATTTTAAACAGGACTCCCTCTTTATCCCCCTGCTTCCCTGAGCTCTTTCCCTCTAATTCCTGGAAGACTAGGCCGTGGCTGCCTTTTAACCCTCACCTGCTCCTCTGCTAGAATAATGTTGCCTCCTCTATCCTCTCCATAGGGGAAGCTGCAGATAGTACGGGGAGAAGTGGGTTTCCAGACAGCAGAGAAAGATAGGGTTAAGATCAGGAAGGAGAGGTTGCGAGGGTTTTGTGAGATGAAGACAGCGGGTTAGAGGTAGAAAAAAAAGATGAAAAATGAAGAATACTGTCAGGCAGAGAAAGACAGGACCGACGGAGAGGCAGGAGTTGCGTTATTCTCCAGTGGGACCCGGCCAGCCATTCATCATGGACGCTACATTTTTTTCCAATACCTTGTCAAACAAAACTGATGACAAAGCACTGGCCACATACTAGGTAACTTTCCCGTTGGTGACCTGGAACAACTTCAGACAAAGCTAAAAAGGTGATAACACTGTATGGTGTAAAATGTTTTTGGTAAAGTACTGACCTTCAAGCTAGTGTCAAAGGTGCATTGTGTAATTTTTCTGGTTGAAGGTCCACCACATGCTTCTCTCCCTGGAGATGTTATTGCTTTGTTTGGAATGTTTCTGTAATTATAGTATTAAACCTTTCAATCATCATGGAAACCAAACCAAACCAAGTTAAACTACAGGTTAGATCTGTGGAGTGGCAACCCCGCTCATCAACAGAATGCCTGTTTGTTTCAATTGAAAAGTTACACAGTGCACCTTTATATCATCTCTATTTATTTCTATTCTATTTTTCTTCTTTTATATATTTTTAAAATAATTACCAATAGTAGGTAGAGGTAACCTAACCTGAAAGTTGTTTGTACTGTAATATGCATCTGAAATATAACTTTTCTATGAGATTATATCATGGTTACACTGGGAGCCCAAATCATGCACCATAGTTTAAATCCTCCAGCTAAGTTAGTCCTGACCAAGCCTAGCAACAAGATCACAGAGATGGGTCCCAGAGCACCGCACTGCTCACTGCTCCTGAAGAGATCCCCCAGTGGCATTAAAGGATGGGTCAAATGCAAAGGCCAAGTTTCTCTATGGGGACAATAAAGTGTAGTTTAACCTTAACTTCTAATATACCTAAAATCATTTACATAGAGATTTACTGTGAACTAATTCAAAACCATGTAAACAACCAGTTAGTATGATAAATTATTCCCATCAATTTATTCAAAAGTAAACTCTTACTCTTACACCTTTGGAAATAATAAATCAAGTTTTTGTCTTGTCACAGTAAACCAAATAAATGTGCATAAGTTTCCATACGAATCCCCTATAAATGAAATTCTGCTCAATGAGTAATTGCCTTCAATTCGCTCCCCTTTGAGTCAATCTCATGTGTGAAGTCAGCGCTGTTAATTAGACCTGTTTTTATGTTCAGGGAACCAGCTGAGCCTGCCTCTTTTTCCCCGTTCTCCCCCTCTTTCTCTCTCTCTACCATTTGTACTTAATTACTGAGGGACTGCTGTCTGCACCACTGAGGCATAACAAAGAGATGTAATGCCATTAGCAAGCAAAAAAAAAAAAAAAAAAAGTTCACGCCTAAAGACACTGGAGCTGCTAAAATCAAGTTTTACACAAAATTGTAATTATTGTAAATTATTATAATCTAGGCCATCTTCATCTTGGTTTCATTGTCTATTATTAACATTATAAAACATGTAATATGCTTCTGCTTTCTATCCGACTTCCACTATCCAGGGATACAAGAGCAAAATCCTTTGACAGCAATACCCAGCAGACCCCTGCATTTATCAGGGCATCAGACTGGCACTATGAATAAACTAGCAACTTATTTATACTTTAAATTAGGGATTTAACAATAACCAAACTATTGTGATACTGTAAGTCTCAATTATATTGTGGGTTATGACAATATATCGA